TCCACCAATAGATGTTGTTTCCATAGGACCACAAATGTCGCTATGAATGACCTCTAGCAGTTGCTGTGCTCGACTGCCTTCTTTGGGAAAAGGTAAACGGGCTTGCTTGCCCCTACAGCATACCTCACAACTCCCAATGCTTGTACCATTACAGATAAGACCATCAACCAACTTGGCTGTCTTATTCAGGTAGCTGTCATTAATGTGACCTAAACGTTGATGCCATAAATTGCTACTTACAGCTTGAAAACACACTGGCTCCTCACAAACGTTCAACTTGTAAACGTTGTTATGTAGACTAGCAGTAGCTACTGATACACCAACTTTATTGTAAATATTGCATCCCTCTTCATGAAAACTTACTCTATTTCCATTATTGATTAACTGGCCTACTGATAATAAGTTAGTTGTTAAACCAGGAATATACTGTACACCTTCTAGTAAAATCTTGTGCTGTTCATTGGTCATTGTTTTGATCTCAACATCACCTGCACATTCCACAACAACTTTCGATTTGTTAGCCATTACAATATCAGGTAAGTCAGGCTTTCTCCTGTTTTTTAACCACTGGCTATTGGCAGTTAAATGCTTGCTGGCACCACTATCAACATACCAATCTGTGACCTTAAAATCACCTGTTGTAAACACGGCACTAAATCCTCCTTCAAGTCTGTTATTGTTAGGGCATTTTGACATAAAATGTCCTGTCTTTTTGCACTTGTAACACACAATATTACTCAGATCCTTTTTATTATGTCCATTTCCAAAACCACTGTTTGAACTTGACCTCGATTGAACCCCGAAATCATCTGTGTTTGTTGACATTCCCGCTTGGCTAGCACCAGCTGATTTTCCTTTGAAATTCGTCCTACTAGCGCCACCTCGCGACTGTTTCCGAAAACTCGGTTTCTTGGCGGAGAATGCACCTGCATTTCCATTACCACTAGCGCCATCTGTCTGCATATCCAATAACTTGGTCTTTATTGAATCTGTGGTTATGCAGATTCCTGAGTGCTCGACGGCCATGATCATTGGTGCGTACTTGTCTGGAAGACCGGCCAGCAGCAATGATCCTACCCACTCCTCGTCTATTTTGAAACCTGTTCTGCGTAACTTTTGGGAAGTCTCAACAATCTGGTTTATGTACGACTCCATACTATCATGATTCTCTAATCTTGCCGATATGAGTGTACGTAAAAGTCCAATCTTTCGCATGAAACCACTGTCATCATATAAACGTTTGAGACTGGTCCATACTTCTTGTGCAGTCGTTAAATCTTTGACATGCGGGAACAAAGATGGATCGATGGTTAATACTAGCTTGGCCTTTGCTTTTGCTAGGGTCGTTGTGTCGGTCTCGGTACCTTCGATGCATTTGTTTAAGCCCTCTAGCACAAACACATTCTCGACGGCAAACGCCCATTCATCATAATTCTCACGGCCTAAAAGCCTTGGCACACTCGTCAGGTAGTTGACGGCCATATTTGTTCTGTGAGAAACACTTGCGTCACGACAGTTTCTTTCAACGTCTCGATTCACTAAAGTTTCGCTGCTGGGTGTCCTACTGTGGGTCTGGGCCCATAACCTGATGTTTTTTAACAGAGTTTACACACTTTTCACAGTTCAACCCGAACTTAAACGCAACTTAAAGCGAGATTAGCGAGATGAAAGAAAACACTTGTTCACGCTTATGATGGTATATTGCAACTACTCTGACATTACAGAGTGACATGCACATAGTGGACAAACACAGTAGTAACGACATATGACACTAGATGTCGCTACTTTGACCAATTTTAAATATATAACAGCTACAGTAAACTTTTGGTATACTTATTCACAACAAATAATGTGTGGAAGTAATTTAACAACAAACATTTTTAATCCGTCAGACGATATCGGCTATTTCAATAGTTTTGTCAAATCTTGACAAGCCAATTTTACTAGAATCCATTAGTTAACCATTCAGCCGTCATCGTCTGTTTTTGTCGAAATGATTGTGGAATAAATTTGCTACTTTCACCAGACTATATCGTTTGATCCATCGACATCGACTACTGCCATCTAGGCCTTTGCCAAGCAAATTTGCGAAGCCAATTTCACCAGACTATATCCTTTTAATCCGTCAGATGACAGTCACATCAAGTAGAAGCAATCGGAATCATCGCGAGGATCAAAGGATATAGTCTGGTGAGATTAACTTCGCTAGCTTATTTGTTAGGTGGATGTCACACTCTTAATATTTACAATACAAGTGAAACTGAAAATAATTGAAGCATACATCTACCCGGTACTAACATACGAACTTGCTGCTGTGTTCCCAGTGGCATTCTCAAATCTCATCTACTGCATACCAAATAATATAATAATATAATATAATATAATAATAATATACGCCTTTATTACAAAAAAATATGTACATGGTACATACTGAAAGTGGGACTCAACTGGCGAAGTTTAGCAATGCTACTCTTACACTTAACCAGCTGAATCAATAAATACAGTGATGTTAAATAAATTAAAAACATATATATATACATATATATACATACACATGTATATATATATATATATATACACATATACACATACCTATATATACATATATATCATGCGCCTAAAAATAATATTAGTTTCTCAACGTAATAAATATAAAGTCTGATTGGATGATGAAAGCTCATACATTTAAAGGAATATTCCAACGAATTATATAGAACTGCCGAATTATAAGAAAAACTGCGGGTGAATAAGACTGTAGAGTGAGGCGGAATTCTGATACTCAACCTATCTCTAAGCAACCGATCATGAACAACAAAGTTAAATAGAATTTTTTCTCTCAAGTAGGCGGGCTTTGAAGTGGTTATTACTTTGTGAATAAATACTAGATGGTGATATTCGACCAATTTATCAAATTTGAGCCATTTCAGCGTCCTGTATTTCTGTGATACATGGTCAAATTTTCTCAATCCACATATAAAACGGACACAATTATTCTGTATAATTTGAATTCTATTTTTCTTTATTTTGTCAAGGCATGGGAAATAAAGAATGTTACAGTAGTTCAAACAAGACATCACTAGCGTTTCACACAGTTTTTTCCTGAGCTTATACTTCAGTAAGTACCTACAAGAGTACAAAGTGCATAGGCGGAGGTAGGTTTTTTGAGCAAGACAGTTGATATGATTATAAAACCTTAACTTCTCATCGACCTCGACACCTAAAATCTTGGCAGTGGTACCAACCTGAAGAAGATTTCTGTCAATAAAGATATTAAGGTTACCTTTGACGTAGTTTCTTTTATTATCAGAACAGAAAACTATGATTTTTGACTTCTCAGGATTAACTCATAAATTATGATTGGCTGAATATTTACAAACCATGTCAATATCATGTTGTAGCTCTATATTAGCTGTTCGTAATTCACTAGCTTTAAAATAATGTACTATTTGGGTATCGTCGGCAAAAGATTGCATTTCAGAATTTTCCATTACTGCATATAGATCGAAGGTGTAGATGAGGAATAAGAGAGGACCTAGGATAGAACCCTGAGGCACGCCAGATGGTATGATACTGTCTAGATAGAGAAACTTCCTGAACTCGGTCGGTTAAATACGCACAGAAAAATTTGAAATGACATACTCTGAGAGATGCTACAAAAAGACGGTATGGCAACACGCCTCGATCAAGCATACAAGAAATTTCTTAAAAACACCAAGAAAGACAAATCAGTTAAGCAGATCTAGACCAAAGAATATTATCTAATCAGCCAGCCAAGTCCAGTCTTCAAAATTTAGACGTCTTGTGCACCATATCTCATAACAATAACAAGGTTTTATCCTACATACCCTATCCTCCTCCTTGTAGCCTTTACTAAGAACTACATATTTTGAATCTATACAAAAGAAATTTTGTTGTTGTTTACACTGCTTACATACAGTGTGTACCAATATTCCGGGGACATATAAGTACTACGTATTTTTAGACTCTGAGAGGCAGAGTTGCGAACAAATTCTGCTGTAATTTATGGGTGGGGGGTAGTTTGCACCTTTATCAAACCCTTTCGAGTTTTTTGTAAAACTCAAATATTAGAACGTCTATTAAAGCAAATGTGTCTCAAATCGGACTATCGGTTTCTAACGGACAAGCGAAACAGTTTTGCATGGAGGTAAATTATGTCCAATCGACTTACTTTGAGTCTGAAAATACGTAGTTCTTTTATCTCTATCGAATATTGGTATATAAGCCAAAGGCATTATATACAGGGTGGCGCATCGAAAACGAAACAGACGCATTTACTGGCAGCTCAGTTTTTTTTTTTGAAAAACGCTCAGACCCGTCGATTTTGTTTTCGACGGGGACACAAGTTTGGCAAATAATCACGTTAATACGTGCAGCCCCCTGGGCGGGGGTGACACCAACCCTAAAATCTTTTAATGTAAAGGGAGGTCGAGTGATTTTAAAGGTCTTTCAATTCCCTTTATAATGATGCAAAATACATGAGCTTCAGTTCAGTAGTTTTGAAGATCTATTGATTTAACAGCTTAAAGTAGACTTTAATACGTACATCAGAGTAGTTTGTACTACTTTCGGAAGAAATTTGACTAAAAGAATTTACTTAATAAGCAAATGCTTTTCTTCACTACGCTCATGGTTTGTTTATCATTTTGTTGTTGAAAATAGCTATTGGAGCGTTTTTTGTGGCAAAAAGTTATTTCTTGAAGAAAGATAAGGAAATATCTCGTACTTATTTTAACCTTTAACCGACGTCGTAGGTACCTGGGACCGCTGGCGATATTCGTTCCTAATTTTTCCCCACTACTATCTGTCGTTCACGCGTATCCGTCTTAATACCTTCTTATTAGTACAACAGCAGTGCTAAAGTAGTGTAGTCGTGTTTATTTGAGCGTTAGTTTTTTCGTAATAAAATAAAGCGGTCCGTGGTACCTCACAGCGGCTTAAGTGTAAAGTGTCTGGGTGTGTACAACATTTTTGTATTGTTAATGGCTTCTGGACGCGTTTCCGACAGTGTAAACTTTGCTGACCCCTATTTCGAAGCCATGGTCATGCGCATGCTGGAATCACTAGACTCAGATGTGGATATGTCCGACCAACATGAAGATTACGTTGAAGAAAGTGAACATGATACCGATTCCGAATTAGATCTAGAACCGAATGAAGAGTTTGATCAATCCAATAATCAATCAGTACAAGTGAGTGACAACTACTCATCGGATAACGAAAACCCGAATTATTATTATGGTAAAAACCGTTTTAAATGGTCTTATACCGAACCAAAATGAAATATCCGAAATCCAGCACATAATATTTTAAAATTACCTGGAATTCGTGTTCCGCAAAATGAAAATGAAGTGTTTGATCCAGTTTGTGCTTGGAACTATGTTTTCAACGAAAACACGTTGCAGTGCGACTACCATATGAAACTGAGATCTTCAATTGCACGAGCTTTGGGAAATCAAGATGTTCCGCTACAAGAGGACCATGGTGTCGACAGGTTGGCCAGGAACGAAATAAAAACGTACCACATCTGTCCCCCAAAGAGGAAAAGAAAAACCGTATAATTATGTTGTCATTGCAAGAAACCAATTTGCCTGGAATGTTCCAAAAAAATATGCCGTAGCTGTGTTAGTAAAGTCTAGGTGTTCTTATAAAGAAATTTGTAGATTACAATAAATTCTATTATCTTTTACTCTGCACGTTTTTTTCTTTTGGATGTTATAGAGCTTATATTTGTGCAAAATAGTTCTTTAGGGTGTATTTCTTAATATGATAAATAATTTTCAGGTTTAATGTTTTTTAGTCATTTATAACTACAATAAATAAGGTTGGTAAATTAATATACACAAAACTGTATGCTATAAAAGTTAAAAATAAATGTTTTAGTCGGACTTTACATGTTTTTTTAAATATAATACATAAATAAGGACTCAACCTAGAGTATATTCCAAGAAAGTAGTGTTTCTTAAAACAGTCATCGAAAATATATTTTTTTATTTTGCGGTCCCACGGACCACTCGACGGCGGTTATGCACAAAATAGTCACGACGTCGGTTAAGGGTTAAATAGGAATTTTAGTTTAGTTAGTTTGTGATTGATTTGACAAAATTTTGTTGCCTATATAACTTGTAACGCTTTATTACATACATTAACCATGGTATATTCCACAGCAGAAAAAGTTGAAATTATCAAAACATTTTTCGGAAATAATCAGTGCGCTAATAGAACAGCAGAAATATTTAATAAGCGACATGAGAACAGTAACGTGGATCGAAAATATGTTCTAGAACTTGTAGCTAAAGTTCGGGAAACTGGGTCAGTCGCCAATAAAAAACGCAACATTGAAAATCCTATAAGCAACGAAGCAATAGAAGTGGGGGTTTTAGGCCTAGTTTTTGTAGATCCTACGTTAAGTACCCGCAAATTGGAGACTGTGTGTGATGTTAGTCGACGTACTGTCCAACGGATTCTAAAGGCTCATAGTTTCCATCCGTATAAAATTCACCTGGTACAAGAACTTAATGAAGACGATTTTGATCGGCGATTACAATTTTGTGAAAATAAGAGTGAAAGAATTATAAACGATGAACATTTTCTATTCAACACTTGCTTTTCCGACGAATTTTCCTTTTTCTTAAATGGCGTAGTAAATCGTCATAACTGCCGATATTGGTTCGATTCTAATCCCAGAATTTATCATGAGGTTTATACACAGCAGCCACAAAAATTAAATGTTTGGGCTGGTATTTTTGGCGATTATTTAGTTGGTCCTTTTTTATTACCTGGAAATTTGACCCGTGAGGTGTATTTGGAATTACTGGGAGACGCCATAGATTCTGCATTAACAGCCATAATTGACAATCAGAATGATCGGCGGTACATTGCGAATAGGTTGATGTTCCAAGGATGGTGCCCCACCACATAACGCATTACGACAATATTTAGATTAGACGTTTCCAGATCAATGGAAAGGTAGAAGAGATGCCATTGAATGGCCCCCAAGATCGCCAGATTTATCACCTTTGTATTTCTTTATGTGGGGTCATTTAAAAAGCAAAATCTATGCTACTCAGCCAACACCATTGGAAGACCTGCGACAAAGAATTGTGAATGAGTGCCTTCAAATTACTCCTCAAGTATTGCAAAATGTATAAAGTAAAGGTTTCAGATTGACTGGTTAATATATACTGTGATCTATCAGTGTTTATCGTCAGACACTAATTGAGCCACTAGTAGATACAAATGGCACACTAAGTACTGAAGGTGTAGCATCAGCTGCGAATACTTCCAGTGGTATAAACATACTTGGTCCCAATATCTTTAACATCCTTCCAAAAGATTTGCAAGGAATAGCAAAATCAAAATCACTTTAACTATTGTTTGAAATGTTTTTTTAATACATAAATGTTTGATGTCTGGGAGTTATCACTGTATAAATGTTGTTTATTATCCTGTTTGGTTTATCGTTTTGTCATGTCTCTGTATGTAGTTGCTCTATTGACGGGTTCTATAAAAATTTTGTTAGTCTAAATAAAACAAAATATTATTACCAGTACTATTATTATAATGACGATTTACTACAGAAAGAGCATGTTCTTTGTCTCGTATAACCAACAAACTCACCTATTGATCCCAATCTGCTGCACTCGTTCATCACAGAAACGACTCCAGCGCTTTGTCCTCTTGCTGCGCCCCAACAGCCGCGGTCGCGGGATGGTGCGGCCGCTCCCCGTCAGCTTCGATGTATTCGACGCCTTCGTCGTAGTCGCAGTCGTAGTGCCTCTGCAGGTGGTGCGGCACTTGAAGCTGATGCGCGTGCGGGTCCGGTTCGCCGTATTGGCTGTGGTAGAACTCCTCGCGCATCATGTGGTTCAAGCTGCCGCAGCGGCAGTACAAAATAGCCTGGAATGGTTTTATATGTTAAAAAAACGACTTCTCATTTGAGAAGCTTGATTCTAAAAGAACGATCTCGCGACGATTTTCGCTACTTTGTACACGGTAAGCAATATATGGGTATTTCTCAGCAAATTTGATGCTAAGTTGCATGGATTTATCATCAATTTAACATTTTTATTATACCAATAAGTATCTACACTAAAATTTTAAAAGCAAAAATATAGATAATATATTGACACAAAAAGTACGACTAATTTATTAGTCTAAAAGTCATTCCGTCATCTCGTCTCCGGGTCTGAAATTAATAATAAAAAATATATACAATCAAATCTGTTCATATTCTTATAAATTGAATATTAGTAAAATATTTGGTAATAAGTATGGATTGTATAGTCAAACTTTCATTACTAATCAATAAATATGTACGAGCCCCTTCCACTTCAGTTGGCCCAACTATTGAACTCTTAGTTTTTTTCTTATCAAACACAAATAATAAAAATGAAGCATTCCATGTTGACTGTCTGAAGAGAAAAGTGAAATTTCCAGCATCCATTATGATCTGGGGCAGTATGTCATCAAAAGGAGTGGGAAAACTTCATTTTATTGATGGAAATGTGGATACAAACAAATATTTGTCAATTTTAGAAGAATCCGGCCATGATTTTGTGTTTCAGCAAGATGGTGCAGCGTGTCATACCTCAAAAAAGGCTATAAAATGGATGGACGAAAATAATGTACCACTTTTGAAATGGGTTTCTAGCAGTCCAGATCTGTCACCTATTGAAACTTTGTGGCACGAGATTGAAAAGGTTCTACGACAACATCCTGCTCGTACAATCACCGAACTGAGACAAAAGCTTCAAGAAATATGGAATTAACACTAATGCCCGAAAGAATTTCAGCCGTAAAAAAAAATAAAGGTGATGTTACCCAATGGTAATCTTTCAATTGTCGCTTTGTTTACAGATGTTCTATTAGTTATAGGTCTGAGTGATTTAAAATATGTATCTTTTACGACTAGAGTGTATCTAAAATGTTTTTGAGAAAATAAATGGTTTTAGAAGTAAATAGTTTTGTCATGTTTAGTTTATTAAGGCATATTTTGGTACAAATCCTGAAGTGGACCATCTGAAGTGGGAAGGGGCTCGTATATAAAAAAATCTATTTAAACTATGTCCTTTGAAATGAAATCATTCGCTCACCCATTATAAATATTCGATTTGTGGTCACACCACTTGATATTTTTGCACGCAGCTGTTATGTTTTTGAAACTTGGTAATATTGCTAATAATGTCAACATGGCGGAATTTCTTAATAGGGAAAATAGTTGCTACAAAAGAGTATTGGATTTCAATGATTAGAACATTACATTTATCTGTGTCATTATCTGTTTATATTAAAAGGTAACTCATTATACTGTTTGAATGTTTTAATGATTTTTTTCTTGTGTTGGGGAGTAAAATGCATTTCAGTCGTCTAAATACAAAACCCGACAAGTCCATTTAAAGGAATTTTAGGGAAATCGCAAAAAACGTTTATAACGTCTATTTGTCTTAACAGAAACCAGCAAATTGAAACAAAATTTTATCAAAAAAAAAATGTGTAACGAAAAACTGGTTCCCAAACATATATGTTATAATTAGTAATTACTTAAATTAAGATTAAAGTTTGGACTTGTCGGGTTGTGCATATAAAACATGGTGACTTGTCGGGTTTTGGTTATTAACTTTGGCTAAAACAAGGCGAATCGGCAAAACACGAACAAATTTTTAGATCATTTTATTACAAAGTAGTATTAAGAAAATGCACATTCCAAACAACATAAAATTTTGTGTTTTCTAAATATCAAAATCTAAAGTTTCTTCTAAACAAAACAACTCTGTATTGGCCTCATTGCCATCTCGTGAGGTTGAAGTGGATGGGAGAGGAAGTTCATCGAAGGCACTTTTGAAGAATGATAAGGCTTCGTCATTTCGCCAATTACTTCCGTAATGTTTTGCAATCAAATTACTGATACTCTTCTTCTTATCCGATTTCAATGGCATTCCAATGTCTACAGTGCTTGGTTTGATGTCCAACTTTCTTCATCTCCTCAGCAGCGACTGGTTGGTGCCCATGTGATTCTTATAGAAACTTTCACCTCTTCCTGCATAACCGGTTTCAGTTTTTGAAATTATGATGCGTTTGGACACTTGCAACTTGAAATGCCACTGTGATGTTGGCTTCATAACTATCCGAACTTTTGACTTCCAGTCCTGTACAGGAACATCAACTCCCAACTTGTAGATGCTTCCCCACTTCTCTATTACTTTCATGTATTGTTCTGGACTTGTAATTTCAGGTGACTTTTTAATAACCTTCTCAATTTGTCCAAATAGCCTATCTGGTGGAATATAGGAATTTTGTCTATGTTGGGGGTACTGCACTTTAATAACCAAGGGGATAACATCCCAATGACGATGGAGTTCTTATTTTGCGCACCGCAACGATCACAAAAAAGGCGAACGACTTTAGTAGATTCGCTAAATTTAAATGTGCTGAGAGTATGATATAATGCTGATGCTATTTCATTGGATCCCCTTTGATGATCTAGTTCAGTCCATACATAGGAATTGACTGAAGTTGGACTTATTTTTCCTTTAGAAGTCCCCTGTACAATTGCAAAGTGATAAAAGTTTAACTGCATACTGAATTAGACTGCTTGATCTGCGATTTTTGGCAGAGCCAGGTTTTTTTGACAATCAAAGCTGAATGTAACAACCTCACTGTCAGCATGGACTTCTTTCAAAAGCTCATAGAGGCACTTTGCTCGGATTTTGTGAGCTCGCTGTTGAGCCATTAATCGATTCTTTGTGTTGATATATAATGACTTTTTTATTTGGTCTTGAAACTGCAGGCATGTTGAACACATGTCGGTTTTAGGAGTACCAAAGCCAACATTGTATTTTCTGGTGAAAAAGTATCTGAAAAATGACTCCTTAACCTGAAGATCTTCGTCCACGGTATTGTTAAACATTCTCCAAAGTTTCCTGATATTTAGTTCTGCAGGCAAATAAATTCTACTGGATGTCTTAGATCGGCAATAATGAGACTCTATGCACTTCAGTGATTCAACAAACTCTTTTGTCCGATCACCTCCACGTCGTTCTTTGGGCATTTCGTTGCTTTCCTTGTACCGTTTTACTACATTAAAAATCCTGTCTTTCTTCACTCCCAGAATGTTCATGAAACTCTGTCTGCACACATTAACCATTAGCCCATCTCTTCTTTTCACATAGTATTTCACTGACATTTCGGCTTATTTTTTTCTTGTTCTCGTTTTCTTGATCTTTTGGGATCAGTAATGCTGCAGTGCTTCAATATAAAATTGTGTGATTTTCTCTGATGTTTTGTAAAATGAGTCATAAAAAATTTTTATATCTCTCATGGTCAGCAGTGATATACATTGAAAGGGCTCGTACGGCTTACCTTCATGCCCACATTTTGGAAATGTTTTCAATAATTTTGCAGAGTATCTAGAAAAATACATACAAATAAATTACTATTGCTACCGTGTAACAAGTATCTGTTAGCTTACCTGTTGCGTTTTGCATTTTCCCGCTTAGACGGCGTTTTAACTTTCTTTCGAGATCTATTACCTTCCGATGGTAGTATATTATATTTTTCGCAATGCAATTCACTCATATTTTAGGCTAAAATACCATCAAACTAGATCGCACAACCTTAATCATTCGAGACTCAACGCAAAATAAACATGTGCATGCAAGTCAGGGCGACAAACCTTGATTGCAACTCTTGATTGACCAAACACGAATTTCATTGGTCGACATGGACATGTCGGTATTTGAATTAAAACGACGCGAAGACATTTCAAGGGAATTTTCTGTATTAAAAATAGCGTGTTAGAAGTCGGGTTTCGCCCTAAAAATATTGCAGTTTGTAGCCCTTTAGATAAAGAATTCAATGGTGTATAAAACTGAAATTCCAAATTTTTTTTTTTTTTTTTTTTATATCGAAACAGCCGCGCAGGCAGAAGCCTAAATGCCGGAACACCGCGGCTGCTATGATGATCCCAAAGAAATTTTGTTAATACGATTTTTGAACTGCCTAAGGTTAGTAGAACTGGGAAAAGCTTCCTCCCGTAGATTGTTCCACAATCTAGACACCCTCGGGACAAAGGAGTGGTCGTATCGGCCAGTTCTGGATGTACGAAGTTTGACACGGTTAGGATGGGACGCCGAAGTCAGGCGGGTCTGTCTGGCAGGCACATCGCGCGGCGGCATCATGGAAGAAAGCTCTGAGGAGCAAAACCCGTTGGTGTAGCGATAGAAAAGAGCTAGATCGCCGACGGCCCGCCGGTGCGAAACAGTCCCGAGACTGTCTGTTAGAGAAGAGTCATCGATCAGTCGGACCGCCCTCCTCTGGACGGCATCGAGCATGGACAATGTAGTCGGGGCGGCAGCACCCCAAATGTGTGAGCAATACTCGAGGCTAGGCCTTATCTGGGCCTTGTATAGAGTGAGAAGGTCATGCGGAGAAAAGTATTTCTTAGCCCTAAACAAATAGCCTAGCTTTTTCCCAGCAGCTGCAGCTATTGAAGAGATGTGTTCGTGCCAGATCAGGTCCTCGGTGATCTGGACTCCGACCAGCCGAAATGAATGGCTCTTTGGTAGAACTCGACCGTCCATCGAAACTGTATGAGCGCTAGGACGCTTTTTGTTCGTCAAAGTACAGTACTGTGTTTTGGAAGCATTGAACTGTACAAGATTGTTGCGTCCCCAAGCAGTGATAGCCTCCAGGTCTCTTGTCAGAGAAGAAGTCGTCGCTAGTCTTCTTTTTTCCAGCTCAGCGGCAGAGATCGGCTTGTCACTCTGAATTCCTGCATGCAGAGTGCTGTCATCAGCGAAGCTGTGGATTGGGTTGATCGTGCAGGAAAGGAGGTCGTTGATATGTAGGAGAAACAGTGTTGGAGCCAAGACCGATCCCTGGGGAACACCCGCGTTGACGTTGTGGGATGAAGAGGAGAATCCGTCAATTACGACGGATATCTTGCGGCCAGAGATAAAGTCAGCCACCCATCTGCAAAGCTTTTCTGGGAGGCCGTAGGATGGAAGTTTGCTTAAGAGGGCAGCGTGCCACAGCTGATCGAACGCTTTCGTGATGTCAAGAGCAACGACATGAGCCTCACCATGAGACTGGATGAGTTTACTCCACAGTTGCGTGACGTAAGCTAGGAGGTCCCCTGTGGATCGTTGGTGCCGGAAACCGTACTGCCTGTCGCTAATCAAGCTGTGACGTTCGAGGTAGTCCAGAAGCTCGCGATTTATGCACCTCTCCATCACTTTACTTATAACAGAAAGCAGAGCTATAGGCCTGTAGTTGTAAGGGTCGGTTTTAGATCCTTTTTTTGGGATGGGCTGTACATGAGCAAATTTCCAGTTTTCTGGGAAGGTGCCGGATTCATAAGATATCTGGAAGAGACGCGAAAGAACTGGAGCAAGCTCCGCTGCACATCTCTTCAGTACAATGGCAGGAATCAAGTCCGGACCAGAAGCTTTGTTGATGTCGAGCGACAACAGCACTCGTCTTACGGTCTTATGCCTGAATGTTACCTCCCGCATAGTGTGGGGAACCCTTTGAATTGACGGCACTTGGGCGTTGGTGGGGACGTCCTTGGTGGAGTTGGCAGCAAAGATCTTGGCTAGCACTTCCGCCTTGGCCTTTGAGTCGAATACAATAGTTCCATCCTGACACGTAAGTGGTGGAAGGCTACTGTGTGAGAAGTTCTTTTCAATCTGCTTGGCCAGCGTCCAGAAAGACCGACTGCCATTGCGCTGCGACATTACCCTATGCCTAACTTTTATATTATGCTGGTTCTTGGCATTGCGAACCGCTTCGTTATATTTGTTTCTGGACTCGACATCGGCTTGTCTGTTCTCTACAGTGGGGTTTTGTAAGTAGGTTCTGTGGGCCTTGATCTTTTGCTGGCGAGCAGTGTCACACGATTTGTTGAACCAGCCGTTGGACCC